GGGGTTGTGCGGGGTGGTTGGGTTGGTGTGGGGTGGGGTGGGGTGGCGTGGCGTTGCGTGGCGTGGGGTGGGGTTGGGGTGGGATGGCGTGGGGTGGGGTGGGGTGGAATTGGGTGAGAAAGACAGGGGAGTGCAACCATTTGGCAGGGGGTTGGGCTTGATGTTGTACAGGGGTGTGGGCACGCGTGTTGAGCTGCCGGGTGGCAGGGCTCAGCTCGTTAGTGGCATGGATAGACAGATCGGTACAAAAAGACCCAAAAGAAGGGCAACAAGCCGGCGTCACTGGCGCCCGTTCCTTTGGTGTGAGTGAGCCCGTCGCGACGCAGCGCCGACCCGCTGCACTTTTGCAATGCGGGCACTATCATAGCTCCACCTCCGCTCCAGGCCGCCAGGCCCGCACCTGCCCAATCAGCGCGCTCCCGGGGCGGCCACGCGTCGCCCGGATGATCTGGGGGCAGGGCGGGGGAGTGAGGTCAGGCAGCGCAGGGGAATGGCGGCGCACTCACGCGGCGGTGGGCCCAGCTTCTGTGTGTGCGCAGCTCTGTCGCTTCGCCCGTCCCCAAAGCTGGCTGCACCTCCAGCGCCCACCGGGCCTGGGTTCAACCACCACTACAGTTTCTGAGCCCCCGGGGACGCCCCGGGCACCGCTGCGCTGTGCCGCTGGACACCCTGGTTGCAGCGGTGTGGTTTGCCCGCCACCCGGCAGCACGGCCCGCCCAGGCTCCCCCATTTGGCCTCGCCAACCTCTGGTATGCTGTGGAATGAGGACCCAGAGCCGACTATCAGCACCCCCTCGTCACGCAGCGGCCGCAGCGCCTCGCCCATGCGCACGTGGTCCTGGCGGTTGCGGGTGGGGAGGAGAAGGGGGGCGGGTGCGGGGATGCGGCTCGGGTGAGCTCCTGGAGGGGTGCAGAAGGGATGAGCCCAGCCTGTCTTGACATGGGCTGGTCCCACATTGGTGGGGACAAGGGGCCAATGCCTTGATCCTCTCCCTCTCCCTCCCCCTGCCCCCTCTCTCTTCCGCTCTATGGCCCTTTTATCATGCACGTGCATAGTAGACAAACGTGTGTGTGTGTGTGTGCGTGTGTGTGTGTGTGTGCGTGCGTGCATGTGTGTGTGTGTGTGTGTGTGCGTGCGTGCATGTGTGTGCGCGCGCGTGAAAACACACACACACACACACACACACACACACACACAAACACACACACACACACACACGCACCACCTGTGCCAACGCTCCACGCGCCCCCCCCCTGCCCCGCCCCCACCCTGCGCCCACCTCTGGCGCCAGTGACGCGAGAATGGACAGCTCCACCACCGGGATGGCGGCAGAGGGGTACATCAGCATGAGGGGGATGAACGCGCCGTGGTCCAGCCCCCGGCCAGACGACTCCAGCTGGGGCTCAAAGCCCGCACCCCTGGCCCCGGCAAAGGGACGGCGTTGTGTAAAGGGACGCCACGGGAGGAAGGGGGTGTGTGGAGGAGGGCTTAAGACGGCGCATCAAGTAAAGGCTGGCGAGGGTACGACTGCGCCCCGGCGGGCTGCGTGTCTCCACAGGTTTGCCACTCATAGCGGAAGGCGGGCAGCTGGATGCACCCGCGACTGCGGCCGCTCCGCCTTCGCCCTGCTGCTTCCTGCGCCGAGCCGCCCCCCACGGCGCCCCCTGGAGCGCGGCAACCCCCACCCCCTGGGCGGGCGCACCTGAGCAGCCGCAGCACCGACTGCGCGAGCGCCGGCTGGCCTGGCGGGCGGTACTGCAGCTGGTAGCTCTCTGGGGGTGGGGGTGATGTGATGGGGTACGATGCATACAGTGCAACACATCAGTCAAAAAATTATAATGGTTCAGAGTGGTGGATTACCACACACAAGGAGTCGCAGGGAAAGGTCCGCAAACCGGGTTGGAGGGAAAGAGTTGCACGGGTGCGTGCCTACCAGCACCTCACTGGCGGTGCGGTGCGGCCTGCTGCGCCGTGCGGGCACCTGGTGGGAAGCCGCCGTAGTCATACAGGAGATGCGACGGCGGCTCCGCAATGACCGTAGGCTGCGCTGCCTCGAAGTGGGCGCTGCACAGCAGGATGGCCGTGGGCGCGGCCGGAAGGCGGCCGGGCAGCGATCGCAGCGAAGCGGTGAGCTGCACGTGCGCTGGGTCGCCCAGCACGGGGAGGGGCCCGCCTGGGGCCATGCATGTTGGTGTGAGCAGGACAAGTGACGGTCAGGGGGCGTGGGTGGGTGTGGCGGGTCGATTCAGATAGATTGATAGCACAGAGGGCACCCCGCAGCCTGGGCGCTGCGCAAGGCAGGGGAGGGGCACAGGATGCCAGGCACCTGGCTCCTTGACAGGCAGGCGAGGACTTGGCACCAAGCACTGAGTTGCTCACCCCCATGGGTCACGAATATGCTGGGAAGCCGCATGGCTGCTGCGAGGGGGGGCGCTGAGGCCGACTCGGCCGCCGTCCCCGATGCCTCCTGCGGGTCCGGCCACGCCGGAGCCGAGGCTGCGGGTGCGAGCCCTCTATCTGGTCCCAGGGACGATGAAGCCAGGCGGCCGCTGATCAGCCAGGCGCCTACTGCTATGACAGGCAGGAGCGGCAGCAGCAGCAGTAGCAGCCACTGCGCGTTGCCAATGCGCCCAGGTGTGCGCCGAGCGCAGACGACGACGGAGCGCCTCGACAGGTTGAAAGCGGGCCAGCGGCGTCCGGCGCCTTCTGCACACGGTCCAGTGTGCACCTAGTCCTCGTATGAAGCACGGTGAGGCAAAGAACCACGCGCGTGATTGATCTCGCAGCTCGGTGATTTCAATTCGACCTCTGCACACCGCTTGCTTGCACTTGAAATGCTAAGTATGTGTGCTCTCGACAATCTACACTGAGCAAGCAGCATGGTATGACAAGGGGTAAGAAAGTTGCACCCGCGTGGCCCGGTGACGCCGACTTATGCACGATTATGAAGGGCTGGGAGACCTCACGCGTCGGCAAACCCTTGCATGTCGTGGGTCAGGCATGAGTTTGTGACGCAAGTTTTGCTTCTTGTATGGCTGGCCTCGGCCCCCAACGTGGGTGCCACCATCGCGGCTGTTTGGAGTCAATCTATCTGCTGTCCCTATCTGCTGTACGATGAGCCTCTGATGACAAATCGCCAGCGTGGTGGGAACAAGGCGGAGCCTTTTTGACAGAACAAGATTGTTTTGCTTCACACTTCACATTACTTGTACAGCCTTGCACCCAACTGACAATCACGACACGTACTGCGTGCAAGTGTACAGTCGGTTTTGTTCCTGTTCTCACAAATGAATGTTAACAGCTAGCGCGAACCTGGTCCGTTAATTGCCACTCTGTGTGAGACCAGCCTCCAGCACGCGGCGGTCTATTCCACGGCGGCACCACGATACAAACCGCACGTGCTGCAGTGCCGACAGGGCCGGATGAATTGGAGTCGAGCCTGTCGCCAAGCTCAAGGCAATAGCCCCAATGGCAACGTTTACAAAGCAGTCACCACTTGGAACCATCTGCTATGTTGTACATGCAACCCTACTCAATCAACGGGTTGCTGCAATCAGGGTTGCTTGCATAGTGCAATACAGGGAACACAGCCTACCCTTCACAATGCCAAATAAGCTGGCACCTCGACGTGGCTTGCGCCGGTTTGTAATGACTGCAAGATGTGAGTGCTGGCACACGCCACAGCACGCTCGTACTCTTGAAACGACCAGGCTTGCGCACCTTGGCCCGCAAAAGATTGACTGAAGGCAGTGGAGATTGAACCCCTAGCAGAGGACTGGATGCGGATGCGTGCGCATCAAGCAAGAGTGTTGGATTGCTTCAAAAACAAACAGGAATCAGGCGATGATAAACCCTGGATTAAAAATCATTGAGCGAGACCACATCAAGCAAAGCAGCACGCACTGACAGCGTGATTGTCGTGCACTAAGTTGCCAGCTGTCAATAGATTGACAAACACTGAATCACAACAGGCCCCCAACCCCATAAAATGATAATCAAAGATTGCGTTCTTCCCACTTCAGGAAGGATGGAGTGCCAGCAGCACATGAGGGGTACGGTCGAAGCAAGCAGAGCAGACCATAGAGTTAGCGGTGTGGGGCAGGCGTCTCACGGCAGGGGGTGCGACTTGCGGCCACGCACACACCGGCGGGGAAAAATGTGGGCAAAAAAAA